TTAAGTGAACTCTCTAGCTTGCCCAATAAAAAAAATAGGTGGGATTTTTTCAACTAGATTCCTAAGGACAACATCAACTATATGCTTGAGATCGATGAGATAATCTTTCTTATGATAAATGTAAAGTTCATTTTCATAAATGAATAAATAATTTTAGTTATTATTATTAACCTCAATCAACACTTACAATTTTAGACCATTCCAATATGTGGACATAAGAAACCATTATGAAAATTGAGTTTAAATGTAGTTTGTAATAGAGCTGTCAAAATGGGTCACAACTCGCGAGCGAACTCGGCCCACCACTGGTTTGAGCCGGTTTGAGTTTGAAAAAATTGTATTTTTTTATGTGGGTCAGATTTCAACTTGACTCATTTAAACCTGGCTCATGCGGGTTGAACCCGTGGTGGGCCAGGCTGGCCCACCAATCCACTTACCTATTCTTAAAAAAATTATTTAAGTTCTTTATTTTCAAAATTAATTAAACACCCATGTTGGGGAGTGAAATTTGTTTAGATTTGAATTATAGAAAATTTTTATTTTTTTATTTAAAAAAATTGTAATTAAGTGAGTCACTGAGTCAACCCATTTACCCACCAACTTGTGGTGGGTCGGGTCGAGTTCGAATTTTTTTGACTCGTAATAAATGAGCCGGGTTGGGTTGGCTTACTAAATTACCAACCCGTGGTGGGCCGAGCCGGGTAGGACTGGATGACCCGTTTTGACAGCTCTAATTTATAATAAACATATAACGAAAAATGCAAAGAATAAAATCAGTTACTTTTATTTTTATTTAAGCGTTTTGCAAAATATGCAAGGGCCATGAATTTTATGTTAATAAAAACGCAAATATTTAAATGTTTACAGAACATCAAGTTTATGTTTTTAAATCATGTTTTACAATAAAATTAATACTTAAAAAAGGATAACTAACAGAAATAAGGATTGCACAAAATTGACAAAAATCATATATTATAAAGTAAACGTGTGATTTCCGCAAACATCTTTTGATTTCATAATGTTGTGTTTAACTCTCATCCAATAAAACGTGAGCTGTTGCAACGAAATGGAGTAATCTTCTTATTCATTATATTTAAAAGTTATATTAAAAGAAATAAATTTCGTATTTCATGTATCAACCGTTTAAACAAAAAATTTAGAATTCCTATCAAAAGGAATGAAGAAATTAAAATAAATTGTTTTTAAAGGCTAAAATTAATTAAATAAAGAAACTTTTGAAAAAGTTAGAATTTTATAAAAGTGACATGCATATGTTGAAAATTGAATCTAAGTTTTACATTGGATAAAAATAAAAAAGTAGAACAATATATAAATATAAAAGACTTATTAACTCATTAACTCATTATCTTAAGGTTTTGGGTAGAGAGTGATATCAATCCCTTATATGATTAAGTTCATTATTAACGCTCTCTATTTTAGTTTCGTTGCTTTCTAACAGCAACAATATGTTATTTAGGTTTGTTATTCTGTTATGGGTTAGGGATTTTCTTTACCAAAATCCCTCGTCTTTCTTATGTTTTCAGGAACCCTATATCTAGGGTTCTTCCCCCTTTTCCGTTTTTGGTACAAACAAAAATATACAGAGTTTATGTTCTTACCTTTTTGCTTGTCTTCTTCTTCTTTCCCTGGATCTCTCTTTTCTGTCTCTACATCTTGGTTTTGGTTTCCCAGAGATCGTGCTGCTGCCATGGAGGTCTCCAGAGTCTTCTCAGCTTCTATACGCGAGCCTCTTTCCTCGTCTTATCCAATATACCACTTTAATATGGTATCAGAGCTGGTCTAGTACTTGTTCTGCCTCTGTTGCGCTCTATTCTTGGTTTCTTTTCTTTTCTCTTGGCAATTCTTGTATCATGGAACAAACAGATCAGACCAACAACCCTTCCAGCCCTTTCTATTTGCACCCAGGAGAGAATCATGGCCTCACTCTCATTTCTCAAGTCCTTAATGAGACCAATTATGCTTCTTGAAGTAGAAACATGAGAAGAGCTCTTCTCTCCAAGAACAAGTTAAAATTCATTGATGGAGGGATTAGAAAACCCTAGAGAGATGACCCTCTTTTTGATTCCTGGGAGAGGTGCAACATGATGGTGCTCTCTTGGATCATCAAGACTTTTTCATCACAGATTGGAGAAAGTGTTATATATGTCGAGGATGCAAGAGAACTATGGGAAGAACTTAAAGAAAGGTTTTCTAAAGGTGACTACTTCAAGATTTCTGACTTATTATAAGAGATTCACTCCATCAAACAGGGAGAAAGAACCGTAAGTCAATTTTTCACTGATATAAAGATTTTATGGGAAGAATTGGAGTCTCTTAGACCCATACCTTGTTGCACATGTAAAGTTCCTTGCAGTTGTGATTTATCCAAAATTTTTCACAAATACAAAGAAATGGAGCATGTTTTTTGCTTCTTGAAAGGTTTAAATGATAGCTACAATGTTGTGAGAACACATATTTTACTAATGGAGCCCCTCCCTAGTATTAATCGTGCCTTTTCCCTTATCATACAACAAGAAAGGCAAGAAAGACATGATTCTGGAATCAATAACCAAAATACTGAGATTAAGGTCCTTGCCAACACTACTGACAAACAAAATCAGTGGAAAAATTATCAGAATTGGAAGCCTAGTGGACGTGGGAATGGGCCTCGCAGTCAAGGAAGAGGAAGGGGAAGAAATCCCAACTATGGAAAACAATGTTCCTACTATCATAAGATGAACCACACAGTGGATGAATGTTACTCCAAGCATGGGTATCCCCCTTGGTACAAAAAAGGGGAGAACAACAACCAAGAAAAGGGAGGACAAAATGAATGGAATTCTGTCAATTCTGCCTCTGCAGAATCACATCATAACTCTGCCCAAGCCAACATTAATTATGCTTCCAATATTTTTACATCATAATAGATGCAGAAAATATTACAGATGATAGAAAAGGTTGACAATCCTTCTCACAGCATCAGTCAAATTCAGAGAAACACCATAGAGGACAAACAAGGTATGTTTTCCTGGATTATAGACACATGGGCCACTAATCATGTGACCCATGACAAAAACAACTTTGTCACTTTCCATAAGATAAAACCTATATCAGTTAGGCTACCAAATAATGACATTATCACTACTCACTATGCTGGAACAGTTCAATTTTCAAGAAATTTTATTATCTTTAATGTTTTATACATACCTGAATTTTCTTTCAACCTAATATCTATCCAGAGTTTAACCGGGGACATACACTACACACTGACTTTTTCTTCTAAGTTGTGTAAAATACAAGACAACTCTACATTGAAGATGATTGGATGTGCTAATGTCTACAAGGGTCTTTACTACTTGAAATCTTTCCCTGTCTCTGACCCAGATTTAACTCTTAAGTCTGTTTTCTCCTATGAACATGTAAACATAAACTTGTGACATTATAGGCTAAGTCATCCTGGACACAGAATTGTTGAAAGAATATGCAAGAATTTTCCTTATGTTCAAACTGATTCTAATGATGCTTGTGATATATGTCATTATGCCAAACAACACAAATTGCCTTTTCCTAAAAGTACTTCTGTTTCAACTAATTGCTTTGAAATTATATATTGTGATATATGGGGACCTATCTCCATTCCTTCTATTAATGGGCATAAATACTTTCTCACCATAGTAGATGATTGTAGTAGACACACCTGGGCTTTTCTTATGCAAAATAAAGGATAGGCTAGAGATTTACTACAGAGTTTCATTGTAAAAGTTAAAACTCAGTTTGACAAAATCATTAAAATCATTAGAACTGATAATGGACCTGAGTTCAATTGTCCTAATATGTATGATTCTCATGACATTGAACATTAAACTAGTTGTGTTGAAACCCCACAACATAATTCTGTTGTAGAGCGAAAACATCAACATATATTGAATATAACCCGTAGCTTACTTTTTCAATCTAACATTTCCTATGCTTATTGGTTTTATGCTGTGTCCCAAGCCATATACTTAATGAATAGGCTCTCATCCCCTGTTATTAATGGAAGAACTCCTTTTGATGTGTTATATGATAATCCTCCTACCTATCTAAACTTAAAGGTTTTTGGTTGTTTGTGCTTTGCTTCTACATTGGAAAATAACAGAGGTAAATTTGATTCTAGAGCTAGAAAATGTATTTTTCTAGGATTTAAAAATGGTGTCAAGGGTTCTAGAACTAGAAAAGGTATTTTTCTAGGATATAAAAATGGTGTGAAGGGTTACATTATTCTTGACATTAAAACTAGGGAGATTTTCATAAGTAGAAATGTGATTTTTTATGAAGATATTTTCCCATACAGAAGTGAACAAAACAATGTTCAAAATAATGAAGAAGATAGAATGTCTTTTCTTAATAATATGTCCTACATCTATGATTCTGTGAGCAAACAAAACTTGGTTGAGAATGGCAGAAATGGCCAAAGCACCACTGAGAATGTCAATATCAGTGCTGATAACACTGACCCTATGGAGGATGAGGAAGTTCACAACCTAAGAAAGTCCATCATAATCAAAAGAGCTCCTGAATACTTGAAAGATTACATCCTTGAAGCTGACCAACCTTCTTCCACCTCTCTATGTATTAAAAATAGTTTAAAGATTCCTTATCATATCTCTAATATTTTATCTTATGGGTCTTTGTCTGAAAAACACCTAAAGTATACCCTGGCTATAACTGCCAACAATGAACCTAGTTCATATGATGAAGCTAAAAATAGTCCTGAATGGACATATGCCATGCAAAAGGAAATTAAAGCTTTGCAGGACAATAACACCTGGTTTTTAACTCAACTTCCTCTTGGAAAGAAACTCATTGGGTGTAGATGGGTTTACAAAATCAAGCATAGAGCTGATGGTACTGTGGAAAGATATAAGACCCATTTAGTGGCAAAAGGCTATACTCAATAAGAAGGAATATATTTCCTTGACACTTTTTCCCCTGTTGCTAAGCTTACCTCTCTTAGAATGATGCTTGCCCTTGCTGCCTCAAAGAATTGGTTTCTACACCAACTTGATGTGGATAATGCTTTTCTACATGGGGACCTAAATGAAAATGTCTATATAGAACCTCCACCTGGTTTAGATGCAGACACTAAAGGACAAGTTTGCACACTGACTAAGTCTCTCTATGACCTAAAACATGCCAGTAGGCAATGGTTTGACAAACTTTCTACCTTTCTCATTTCTAATAATTACATTCAATCAAAATCTGATCACTCTCTCTTCATCAAAAGAACCATTGTTTTGGCAGGGAACTCTATGGCTGAAATTACTCACATAAAGACTCTTCTACATCATCAATTTTGTATAAAGGATATAGGAGAACTCAAATACTTCCTAGGATTTGAAGTTGCTAGATCTAAGAAGGGCATACATCTTTGCCAAAGAAAATACGCTCTTGACATCCTTGAAGAAACAAGAATGTTAGGAAGCAAGCCTTGTTCTACTCCCTTTTTGAGTAACACAAATTCTTTGTACAAAACCGAAAATTACTTGGATAATCCTAGTCTTTATTGCAGATTAATTGGGAAATTACTCTATCTTACTAACACTAGACCTAATTTATGTTTTACTATCAATTTTCTAAGTCAGATTATGCAGGAACCTACCATTCATCATTATCAGGCTTTGCAGCATGTTCTAAGATACATAAAGTACAACCCTTCAAAAGGAGTCTTCTTTGCTGCTGACTTAGACACCCAAATAAAAGCTTTTTGTGATTCTGATTGGGCTACCTGTCCCAACACCAGAAGATCCACCATAGGCTTTTGCATCTTCCTAGGTTCGTCCCTCATCTCTTGGAAGTCGAAGAAACAAAGTACTATTTCGAGATCCTCAACCGAAGTTGAGTATCGAGCTCTCGCTACCATCGTATGTGAGATACAATGGCTTCGCTATCTTCTTCAAGACTTTCACATTCAATCTACTGCTACCACTTCTCTTTACTGTGACAACAACTCTGCTAGGCACATAGCACACAACCAAAGCTTCCACGAGCGGACCAAACACATTGAACCAGACTGTCATGTTGTGAGAGAGAAGATTCAAGCGAAACTTCTGTGTCTCCTCCCTATTCGATCGGAAAAAAAACTTGGCGATGTTTTCACAAAGTTTCCTCACCGTGTTCGTTTCAGATCTATCATCTCCAAGCTTGAATTAGTCAGTATACACCATCCAACTTGAGGAGAGACTATTAGTGCTCTCTGTTTTAGTTTTATTGCTCTCTAATAGCAACAATATGTTATTTAGGTTTGTTATTCTGTTATGGGTTAGGGATTTTCTTTACCAAAATCCCTCTTCTTTCTTCTGTTTTCAGGAACCCTATATCTAGGGTTCTTCCCCCCTTTTCCCTTTTTGGTACAAACAAAAATATATAGAGTTTATGTTCTTACCTTTTTGCTCGTCTTCTTCTTCTTTCTCTGGATCTCTCTTTTCTGTCTCTGCATCTTGCTTTTGGTTTCCCAGAGATCGTGTTGCTGCCATGGAGGTCTCCTAAGTCTTCTGAGCTTCTATTTGCGAGTCTCTCTTCTTGTCTTATCTAATATACCACTTTAATATTCATATCTCATTAGTATTGTGTCTTTCCGGTAAACTTCCTCCTCCTCATTGTCCCAATAGCATAAGGAAAAAAATCCATTTACTTTATTTTTACCAACAAATATTTGGGTATATCATAGCCTTAAATTATAAAAACTAACTCGATATTTATTAAATTACTGAAAACTAATTCAGTCATGTACTAAAAAGATGAAATTTGATAATCCTAGTTTACAGAAAAATAAATAAATGTAGGGTGAATAGATGGTTGGCGTAAGTATGCAACAGTGTTCCGTTTGTGCTTTGTGTTTTAAAAGGTCAACGAAAGGAAGTGGATCAGATTCAGTGGGCAGAAAGGATTTAAATGTTCGCATAGACGTGTGGCTTTAGATTTGGAGCCACACATTCGCCTTTTGCTTTCTTTTTAGGGTTCCAAACATGTGGCAGCGATTAGAGGGTGCCAGATATTTGATTCAACAAAACAATGAAATGTCCCAAAATTGGGATAATAGGACATGCCTGCCTTAATTGTTTCACCGTGTACTTTTGTCCTCTTCCCATTATTGCCTATCTCAAACTCAATTCAGATTTTCTTCTCAAACAACTTCGTAAATCTAGAACTTCCCCACTAAGCATTTCTTTAGTTTTTAAATCGAATAAAATTCATTCTAATTATATTAAAATATATGTGTAGTGCAAAGAATTTATTCCAAACGTAAACTCAACAAATCTTTTGGTTTGTGAACTTAGGATTGGACATTGATTTATGTACCAGTTTGTCAAAATATATTTTGGAAATGTTAAAAAACAGAGCTAACTTAAACTTTTTTTTACTGCCGCTGGGCATGACCGAAAAACAAAAGAAAACAGATGGAATTTTTTAATACCATTACATAAAATAATATACTTTTAAAGGAGTGAATTCGTAAACTACTTATACTGCATAAACCCACACATTTTGATCATTTTTTTAAAAAGCTAAAACTGAATTTCAAATATTTTAAAAAGACAAAAAACCTATTTTACATTTTTGAACCTTCACGTTTCTATCACTAATATTATCAAAACAACATACACAAAAGCTTAAAATAATAATAAAAAAATCCTCATATATCTTTCCTAATTTTAAAGAACCCATACGAGTAAAGCTCACATTAAAATAATAATTTCTTTTAAAAAATAATGAGATATTCTTAGTTATAAAGTCAAAATCATAAATAAAGTTTGAAATTCAAAATTTTGCTTTACAAATATTACACATATGCTATCTTAGCTATTAAATTAATACATAATTTTTGTATTGTCAACAATCTAGACAGAGTTAAAGTAGTCGTTTCCTAAGGAATACAAAATTAATTTTCAACTACTCTTACGAAGACTCTTAAAGATAAAATGCAATGTCCCTGAAAATCTATGTTAATAAAATTAATGTTGAAGGATGTTGTGAATTTAATTTTCCATTTGGGGGTTGAACATGATCTGCACGAGACGAGTTAGGGTTTCGGACATTGGGTGGTTATTGGTGGTTAACGGCGATATTCACAGTGATGGCTTGATTTTGAGAAAACGAAAATGGTTGTTGGCTAGTGGTCCGACGGGAAGGATGGCAGAGGCGCTACGGTGGAGGTTGACTGCTAAGGTTTCTATGGTGAAGACGTGACAAGAGGCAATGATGTGACTAAGTCTAATTGATCTATTTGTTGTGTTAAGGATCCTGATTATGTAGCTTCACAATGGTCATTTCTCCTTATGGTGGATTGCCACGTAACGTAATCTAAATGAGTCTAAATGAATCTGACTTATAAACGCTGACTAATGAACGTTGACTTATGAACGTAGGAAGGATACGTATAGGAAATTAGGAGGTTTAGCAATAAATGCTGTTTATATGGTCCATTGTTAAAAAAGGAGTGTACTTGTAAAATTGAAGAATGTGTTTAGCTCTCTGCAAATTCAAATAGAGATTAATTTAGACTTTTTGTAACTTTGACATTTTAATTTTACACTTTAAAAAAATAAACTAAAAATAAACTAAGTCAACAAACATTGTAATATCTAAAAATATAACCATGGATGTCAACTATTATCATAAACAATAAAGCCGAGTACAACAGCAAAGTACATAAAAAGCCAAAAAGCTCAATCCCCTCCCCCACACAGAAGAGGCAAAACAAAAAAGAGCTTAAAGCTCCTAGCAGGGTAACAACAATGGTTCCTGAAACCGATTTATTCAGACTACTCATTTTTGAGTGAGCAAGACACTAAGTTCGCAGCTAGAAATAAACATACGGTACTAACGTGTAGACATGCTACCACGAAGTACCCGCTTAAAGAGAGTTCTTGGCAACGTGAACAAGCAGGTCAATCACACGTGAGCTGCAAGACCAGGAACACAGCAGGTATAAGATCTAGCTGAATTAATAAAAGTAATAATGATACAATGATAATAAAGCATAGCATGATTAGATTTTTGGCCAAATTTAATTACTAATTGGGTTAATTAATCGACTAAAAATCTGTTACACGACGCACTACCACTCTGTTGCACTACCACTCTGTTCTACACAAGAAAGGTTTAAGGTGGTTTACCTGTATCCCCACTCATTGTCGTACCACGAGACGAGCTTCACAAAATTTTTGTTCAATGCAATTCCAGCCTTTGCATCAAAAATACTTGATCTGAAACAAAAATAAGACAAAAGGGTTCAGTAACAGGTACATGAATAATGTGAAAAAAAAGATAAGAAAAACTTGGACACTAAGCATCACTACAGCTACCATGTATGAATAATTTCACAACTGTGCCAAAACTTATACCTGCTGTCACCCACAAAGTCGGTGGAGACCACATCATCTTCGGTGTAACCAAGAATTCCCTTCAACTTGCCCTCGGATTCCTCCCTGTAAAAGACAACATTTATATAAGATAGTGCGCAAGGACCAATCCCAAAATGGGCGCACCTCTTGAATTGGATCCCGAATAATAAGAGTCACAAAAATTTGCATAAGATTCAACAACACCACAATATCAATAAGAGTATTCTGCCCTTACTTGATAGCATTTTTAATTTCGTCATAGCTGGCACTCTTCTCCAACCTCACTGTGAGGTCAACAACGGAAACATCCACGGTGGGAACACGGAATGCCATTCCAGTCAATTTTCCATTCAAAGAAGGAAGGACTTTCCCAACAGCCTTGTCACAGAAAAATAAGAATCGTAAAAATCAAAAAGAGGGTTGTCTATACACAATTAAACATCAACCTTATGGCAAAGCCAGAAACACCAAACTATATTGGATGAAATATTCACCTTGGCAGCTCCAGTGCTGCTAGGAATGATGTTAAATGAAGCAGCTCTTCCACCTCTCCAGTCTTTGGCTGATGGTCCATCAACAGTCTTCTGGGTAGCTGGTTTGCAAAACAATAACATAAACCAGACTTAGTAATTAGCATGTATGTGTCAAAACATGCAACAGGAAAACCATTTAGAGAGAGACTCACCGGTGATGGAATGAACTGTGGTCATCAAACCCTCAACAATGCCAAATCTGTCATTAATAACCTGCAAAATTAACCAGACAATATTAAAATTATAATAGTCACAAACCAACAAAATAAAATATGCAAACCTTGGCGAGAGGAGCAAGGCAATTGGTAGTGCAACTGGCATTGGAAATGATATCTAGCTCTGGCTTGTACTCGTGCTCGTTAACACCAACAACAAACATAGGAGCATCCTTGCTGGGGGCAGAAATAATAACCTTCTTAGCACCACCCTGGATTAATAAAAAGACAAACAAAACAAACATTAAATTCCACCTCACTAAATCGCCTAAAAATATAAATCTCAAACAATATTTAAAAAAAAAAAGCAGCAAAATTAGGATACAATGCTTCAAACATAGAACACAGAAAATAACAACGCGTGTAAACAATTACTCAATAGAGTTAAAGGGTAGTGTTGTAAATAGAAACCTTCAAATGTGCGGCGGCCTTGTCCTTATCGGTGAAAACTCCGGTGGACTCAACAATGATATCAGCTCCGGTCGAACCCCATGGGATCTCTTCAGGATTCCTGAGGATTAACAAAAGATTTAACGGCGCGAAGAGACGAACAATTACAACATAAAAATGCAGAGGAAAACAATGAAAGTAATGAAAAAGGGTGAAAAATAGACCTGTGTCCAAAAACAGCTACTGGCTTCTCACCAAAGAGAAGGGTATTGGAGTCCTTCACGGTGACATCGTGATGCTTCCAGCGTCCGTGAACACTGTCGTATTTAAACATGTATGTCTACAGACGCAACCAAACACCGTGAACAACCAGATCTAACGGCTAATAACAATATAGAAACGAAAAACCTTGCCGATCTGAACAGTAATGATGTTATAGTGGTCACAGCGAGGGAGAAGAGAAGGTGTGTACCATGTAATCGGTGGTGATGAAGGGATCGTTAACAGCAACGAGTTCCACATCGTCTCTCTGAAGAGCCACCCTGGCCACCAAACGGCCAATTCTTCCAAATCCTGTTACATTTCAAATAAATAAATTTTAAAAAAAGAAGCGAAAACGAAACAGTGGAAATAGCGTTGAACTGATCTGAAGGAAGAACAAAGGATGAAGATGGTGTACCGTTGATTCCGA